CCCACCACGTTGTTTATGCCAATATGGATAGTCCAAACTTTCTTCTACTCTTTACTATTTTAAAGACTTTGCGCGGCAGCAGATAATATTGCGACTAATCGCGGGTCTAGTTTAAATTATAGCCAAACGAGGAAACTTTTCCTCGCGCTATACAACTCTTATCCGAAAACGGACTGCAAAATGGCGAAACTTAAATCGGCGAATATCTAGAGAAACGCGATTTTCTGAAAAACAACTCGATAGTAAAAACTACCTTTCAGACTTTCTTCCCACGCCCGGCTCGACTGACCTTTCACTTACAACTTCCCCCTGAAAAAACGAAACTCCGCGACTGCGTGTTTTCCTAGAAACTTGGAGCGCCGGCTCCACCGGCAGACGGTAAATCAGATGTTGATTAACGAGCCACCGATAACTTGGCCACCGTGGAACCTGCTCCAATCAAAAATCTGGACGGTCTCCAAAAGCTTTCCAATCGCCTTTTCCCTTGCGAACTTCTCCCCTAGACGGTCGTGACCCATCGAAGTAAAATAACACCGTCTTTACGAATCGGAAACGCGACTCGCGAAATTCTCTTCCATGGTGCTTCGCGTCAGATCGGACGGCGCAAAGAAACACCGCGTCAAACTGCGTAGTAACAGCGAGCGTCGTTTTTCTTTTTCCACGACCGAATTAGAAGTATTCTCTTGTACGCGACGCAAAAAGCTGAAAATCTCGAAAAGACCATACGACCTGGCACGGTGGTGAACTATCGTACGTGTTTGCATATCCTTGGGTAAACCCTGTAGCTCCTTGAGCCAAGCCGAATAGCTCGGTTGTGCCAGGAATGCCGAGTTGAAAGTTTCAGGACGACCACCTATATTCCCGAACACGGAATACCTTAGAGATAAGATCCCCTTGATTCGGGAATTCTGAATTCTCCAGGATCCTTCTATATCCCTGCCCAGAAATTCCTCCTAAAGTTCATCTTCCTAAACATTCTGGACAAAGACGATCGCTTCGGTCTCCTTGATTTCCTGTACTAATTATACATTTTCTGTACTACTTTAATGGTATAAGTTAGTCCATCGTTATTTTCCATAAAACTCCGTTTTGCGTTTATTAAATATTTTAAGAAAGTTGGCATAGATATTTCCATTTTTGAAATCGTGTGAAAACACGTGGCAGCAAGAAAAGAAATTAGGACTTGACCGATCTTGATGCAACTAAGCGAACGGCCAAGCAAACGGCTAAGCTAACGCGTAAACTAAAATTATCGAATTTTCAGCCATGTACCCGGCTATGTATCGAAGAAAATCGCAGAGACTAGGTTTATATGGGGAACTTTGTTGCACGGTCTATTAGCTATTAGGGGTTACGCTATCTAACACCCCTGACTATAAGAACATCTGTTTGGTTCTGACATGTGGCTGTATGAGCGTATGATAATGGTTGCGCGAAGGGTGAGTGACAGTACCCACTTAGGAGAAAGAGCCCAGAGAGAATCAATCGCGAACCATCTGTTTGAAAAGTTGAAAACAGATCTACGAGTTACGATCGCATATGCGTGCCAAAAGGCTGTCAAACTGCTAGTTTCATTTTTGTTCTTACTTCGTCGTTAGTTTCTCACGGATACGACAATTCTGAATTTACCAGCCATGCATCAAACCTATATTTTCTTTGGTTTCAAATAAAAATATATATTCAAATAAAAATTTGTTTCTAGAAAGAAACCTATTTTTGTACAAAATATTTCAACTCTCTTTTGTATTCTACATATTATATTTATGTAGAATACATTTATAGGGTGTTTTAACGTATTTACGGAGTTCTCCTTTGGATAATATCGAATGAAAAGCAAAGATTTAAGGTCGAACGTACGAAAAACGCAAAAGTTTGAGTTCCACAAAGGAATGCGGCGGTAGTATCGCTATTGGACTTTCGTTCTTTCACATATGTATATATGTTCTGGACGATGACGCGGCAGCACGCGGTCCGCAAAGAACAAGTCCAACGAGGTAAAAGTGATGCAACACAACTGGATAACAACTGTTTCGTCACGTTTCCGTCGTGAATCCGCCCGCTGTTGAGAGAGCGGTGTTCACGGCCGTGTCTATCTCATCTAGAACCCGCACGAAAGCATTGACCTTACCGAAACCGGCTTCCGCAGGATATTTTTCAACGCTATCTTCGCATTTCAATTTCAATTACGAAGTTGTCGACGATGATCGGGAAACCGGAAAAAAGTTCCATTTACGTTGCGCGCAGCAGTAAAATAATTCAAACAAACAGATCCTTTTCGAGAATGAAAGAATTTCCGCAATATCAGCGATTTCGCGCGCAACGAACGAAATAGAGCCATTAAAAAATAACAATAACATGGCAAACCATATTCTTTCTTTCTTCCTCTCTTTCGTTAAACGAGACACAAATGTCTACAACCATACTTTGAAAGAATCTAAAAATCTAATCGAAATCTTATCCTGTCGTTATCCTCGATTACATTACATATACATACATGTATGTATACACGGCACTTTCACGATACTAAAAATATCATGATATAAAACGCGCAAGCAAAACTGACACATACGTATATACTACGACAAGGTAATAATCTTGAATTTCCTATGAACAAGACAACCACGGCTTAATACCGAGTTAATTACGTTAGAAATCAGAAGCCGAGCCTGACTAACTAACTGAATTCGCTATCGAACTTGTGCAGTAAGCTTGCTTTACGGACAACCGCGGTACGAATATCGAATCCATCTCTCAGTATCTGCTCAATGAAACCAAAAACTTTCCTATAAACAAATCGAATTATTAAACGGAAAAACTTGGCATATACTCATTTCTTAATTGTAGATTATACACGTAATTCGATGAAGTGCATCTTTGGCACCAGGGAACGAAAAATGCACGTTGAAATAACTTGAAGTAAAGCTACTAATTGTAAGATAAAATAACATTTTATTAGAACGGTAAAATCATTGCTCGTGCGCGTGTGATTTATAAATTACTCAAACAAAATAAGTATACGATCTAGCCGAAGGGACGATCTATCATCGTCCAAGTTGTATTCGATAGCGTACGTAGCAACGAAGCTGCACGAAAGGTTACTACGTTTCTAGACCGTCCTGAAACTAAAAAGTCTTGTCTTAAGTGGAACAACTACACGGAAAATGTTACGTGAAATTTCCGACGTGAAACATCTATGTTACTCAATTTTCGATCGTGCATTTTCCAAAGGCCAACGCAATTTCTCGAATGAAATATACGAAGATGGCCGTAACGTGCCGCGCTTAAAGATTTCCCAAAGTTGATACAGCTTTCTACGGGCATCGTAAGATTGTTTCACCGAAGAATCGAAAACTTGGAAAAAGAAAAATCGATCCTTTGTCCTTGAGATATGGCCCCGAGGCCAACGAAACGACTTACCTATCACGGTTAACTGCGTTTTTATATTTTAGATGCATTGCGCGAAACGATGCCGCCTTTTGCTCGCCTTCCCTTCTTCCCTTGGCAATCGGAATTGCCAGAAAAATATTCCACGATAGCGATAACTCATTTCCCTTTGCCGTCGGACGCTAACCTAAGAAAATCCATTTCGAATCGAGACAATCAAAATGGATGGATATTTTTTCAACGTTTTATCATACGTCAAACTAATAAATATTAGTTACCCATTTTATCGGCAGCTGCTAATATCCTCATCGCCATTCGACATGTTCGACTTACTACATGTAACGTGTTACTGTGCATGTAAATTATGCTTTTTACACGTTATAAAGATCAAAGTCGTATCAAATTTTAATGATAACGGTTTAAAATCAGAGAAACTGCCGCTATAAAGACCAGATTGTTTCAAAATTCCGATTCTCTAATATAATAATCTCCGATAGTTCCACTCTTTTTTTCTGCTTGACTTTTAGTTTCAGATAGATAACGTAGCGGCGCACTCGCGACTATATCACTAGTATCACCATCACATACGTGAGCTAGTGGTCCTTAATTGGAACTTCCGGCAGGGGTAATTTTACGATTTACACTCTGGAGAAGAGCGTCTCTCTTTATCAAACACAGAAATCCTTCGCAGATGTAGGTCGAAAAATCTACGAATGAAAATTCGCGATAAACAAATGATTTTCCAATGCGCGATATATACATACGCATGTATGCGATATATACATATGCGCGTATTTAATACGTACGTATGTATTAAATTAAATTGGAAAATCAGAAAGATAAACTGCATTTGTCACGGTCTACGAGTCTCCGATATAAATATTCGAAGAAACGTTATCTACGATTTCAACGAATTCATTGTGAGTCAGGAAAACCCGCTTAGTGTGTCTTTCCGTTCTTCGAAATAGAACGGAAATCCGTGTTTCAAGTTTAAAAAAAATTCTTTGTCAAAGATTAAGACGCATAACGAGCTCAATCTTTGTATTTTATAACCGTAGAGTGTAAAATGTTGCATCTCCGCAAACACCGGATATAATTTTAGTATATAAAAACCGACAAAATCGTATATTCACACGAAGAAACGGCATATGTATGGAATACGGTTTCGCATGGTCGACAATTTCACTTTAATGCAGAAAAAAAAGAGGAGAAAAAGTATAGGCGTTCTCAAAAAACAGGCACCGCACTTGGTTTTCCTTTGAAAGAATCCGAGAGAAATGTGCGAGACACGCTCTTCGTGAAAGGATGATTCATGAGACGTGGAGACGGTCGAGCACACGCACACGCACACACGCGCGCGCGCGCGCGCGCATACGGGACACGGATGCGGATCCGCACATATATCGTGCATGTATATGGGCATAGATAGGCGCGTATGCATATGTCATCGGGCCAATAGCACACTTCACAGGCTAGACGTTAAGCAACGTAAGAACGTGCATTTTGCACGAAATACCGATCTATCGACGCGCGATTAACGATTTTAACTAATTTCTATCGTTACGATTCAACGTATGTCAAGGAGCACGAAGCAAATCAAATTTATATACGCTTACCGCTTTCGATATAAGGAACCAGCAACAGCAACAGGAGAAAAAGAACATATCCACACGTATCACTGATCATCGTAACCATATTCTCTCGCACGATGAGATGTCGTTGGCTAGATATTGGCACCACCTCGCGAATACGCGCAAACAACAATAAACAAAACAACAACGCGACGACGCGAGGAAATAGCGAGTGGTAATCGGCAACAGTTCCAACAAGACGATACAGGGAACGCGACGTAGAGACAACCGACAAAACGTTGCCTCGTATGTACACTCGATGCACCGTGATCAAAGACCAACCAATATTTCCAGTGTATTCAGCACTCAGCCTGCATAGCAACTAGATCGGGCACACAGCAGCACACATTCGATGGTGTTTTCACTGACGTTACGTTACGTTAGGAACGCGTACTGTTGTTGGCGCGCGCGACTCTACGGACCGATCTAATCACACGCGTCGTTCGCGAACCGAGAGAAAATGACGGACGGCCACGGCACACAGGACACACGGCACGTCTCGGTTCAGAGCTGACCAACTTACGCCATCGTTTTCCACCGATATTATCACTTGCACGCGGACAGTCCTTACCATCGACGATCCGCCCCTCGTAACCTTTTCTCCGTTGCACGATATTCGACTTTCTCGTTTCTCCTATATTTCTTCACTATTTACTTCTTTGCCATTCGTTTGGCCTCGCTGTCTCACGATCGTTGTAACAGCTGACCGCTCTTTATCTCACACTCTTTTACCAGATGATTTGAGATTTAGCTGACGCATCGCATCAGCAACAAAACACACACACGACATCGGCTAGTCGCCACCGTTGCCACTGACAGTCCTACCACCGCTGCGATTTTCATTCCCCTGTCTCGTTTATCATGTATCGTTAGTTTGTCGCTCTATCGTCAGATGGCGACAGTTACCACCTCGTTCCATACGTGCTATCCTAAACGCGTGACGTCATTCGTGTTCACGATCACAACCAGTGACGTTAAACGTTCAGCCTGGTTCGGCATAATCGTTTCTTACGTAATTCTTTGTTGCCTGTAAACATGCGTCTAACATCGAAATAAATATTGCAGTACATATCATATTAAACAATAGTACAGGCATTTTTACGCAAATTTTATCGTCAATTTTAATTTCTATTTCATCGATTTCTATTTCTTCGACAACTGTTAAAAATACATCATATCGAAGGAGAATGAGCATAAACAGATACGAAACACGAATTATCGTATTTCTTTATAAAATAGTAATTGATAATTAATCCGTAAACTAATGGAAATGTTTTCAAAGCACAAGATGAAAACGGAGAGTAAATTTCCTCTCTGATAAAAATACGCGTGCTAAGCTTATGCGGAAATAGAAACTTTTACATTTATGTGGTTGGGCGCCCTTCCAGTTCTCATATAACCGGGAGTTTTAAAATCCCAATATGGACCAAATTTTAATATCACCTATCGCAACATGATTCGTTGTTCATTTGCACAAAATTTCGGTAAATAATTTTGTTATTAATAATACTTGTATATATCGTAATAGGTACAAATGTAACTATACAAATAAAAAACTAACCTTTCATCGTTGACAAAATTATCTTTGCGAAAGCTAAACGCAATAAAAAATATGCAAATTTTAATATAGAAGGAAATGCGATCTTTTCTCGACAGTAGAGATGCATCCAATATCGATTAATTGTAATTTAATCGTTGATCCATAATACCAGTAATATCCTTAATAATAGTAATTAAAATGTAACCTAATGAGATTGGTAAAAGAGTATACTATACCACTCCGTCTTGTTCAATAACAACGATGTCAGAGATTCAATTTGCAAATATAAATCAATATCCCAAATATAATAGACGGAATAACGAAGAAAGAAATGGTTCGAAACCTACACAGAGCGTTGCGCGAAATTCATCGGAATACAGTTCAAGTAAATTTATTGCGTAAAACGTAATTCTGTTTTATTAGATTATTAATTTCGTCCCGTAACAGCGCAACCGGTATCGGAAAGAGGTTCGAATTCTCGGAAAATTCGTGGAAAAGAAAGAAGGGAAGAAAGGGGAAGAGAGAACGTCCAAACTGCAAATTCTACGGCCAACAAAAGGCCTGATAATGTAGCTAAGAGGATCTACCAATGGTGTAGCCAGTGTTGCGGAAAGAAAAAAGCTAAGATAGTCAGAGCGCGCAAATCCAAGTCAAATTTCTTTAAACGTTTGAAAGAAAAATGTAAGAAGCGTAAGAAAAAAAAGAAAAAGACTACTTTCAGCGAAGAACGTAGTGTTTCACCGATACGATACGAGGAACGTCGCGTTTCTCCGGTACAACACGAAGACACAGTTAGGGAAACGTCGAGAAAAGAGCAGGACGAAGGATTCGATGAATCGAAGGGTGCAAAGGAAATCAGGAAGAGGAAGAAGAAGAAAAAGAAAGATGTTTCTGAACCACCTGTGCGTATCTTTCAAACGGATCAACAGGAAGAGAAAGTAATCGATGATCGTGCTTCCGAGTTAGGGATAGATTTCACCAAAAGCTGTTGTTATTTGTGCGCTCAAAACACAATGGCGATCGCGGCAGCGATGTCTAAGATAGGAAAGTTCCATATGTCCATACAAGCTTCTACCAAAGAAACATTAACCTCTGACAAAAGCTGTAGCCCAACTATGCATGTTAGAACCGTACAGTCATCCGTTAAGGTAAAAATGCGCGATATGGGTACTCTGCACCCTGATAAAAAAAAGAGGAAAAGGTCAAGGCCGAAGTTAAAGCTTAATAAGAAGCTCAATATTCTTCCAAGATTAAAATTTCTCGCGTATCCAAAAGTACGAACCGTTGCTTGCGGAACAGATAAATCGACGAAACACAATAATATGCCACAATGTAGAACAAATCGTGGGGCCAACTGCGTAACCGACGCTAATCTAACGTAAAATGATAAAAAAATCGATGACAAACGAAGAAACGTTTTATTCGATAAAAAGATAGTCGGTTTCACACGTCCGTACGGATGAAGATTTGAAACTTTGCTCGTTGACGAAGATTCTTATAAAGCACCCAAGCTCGTCTCGGAAAGTCCTTTCTTCGTTCGATTTAAGGAAGACCTACGTGCGTTCCTACGCGCATAGTACTAGGTATCTTACCTAATACTATTTATAAGTTAAACACATATTTTATAATACTATATAAATAAATTAGTTTGATTCTCGGGAAATGTTTTTATTCTGGATAGCTTTAACTTTCTCCCACCGAGCATTCCACAGATACATCATACTCCGAGACAAGCAAAGATTCTTTTTACGTTTCATTTATTGTAGTTGTAATTTATGTACACAAAATTTTTACCTCATGCATTTTTGGTAACATAAATTTGTATTTTACAGCTGTCTAACTAACAATCGGAACTATTAGAAAGAAAATATATTATGCGTTAGACGTCCAGCATGTCTTCAGTCGTCAGTATGAAATCATCGTAAGTATATACGTTGAATCGAGAAATTGAGTCTTAATCGCACCATAGACGAGGTACATTGCACTTGATTCTCGCTCGTGTCTCATGTCGGCTAAGTAGTTCGAATCGATATTCGTTCAAACAGCATCCGGCGATGATGCCACAGATCGTGACGGTATCGCCATCGCGTTAATATTGGCGTCATCTGACGCTGAAGTTCCAAACACTAGCGGCGTAGTGTAGTACGGTAACAAAGAGTACTGAGCCGGTGGAAAGTATGCTGATGGGAAAAGCCCTTGCCTTTGGGCAATCTTTAATCTGGAGGTAAGTTGTTTCTTCCACTTGGTGCGACGATTTTGAAACCACGTTTTTATTTGCACTTCTGTCAAATTTAGGGATTTCGACAGTTCCATTCGTTTGCTCACACTTAAATACTTGTCGATCTACAAAAGAAACGTACCTATTAACTTCTCTTATAGATTGCAGCTCTATCATTTCTAACGACCGAACCAATTTTACTTCTTGCTCGATAGAATCTTCATAGAAAATTTGTTATTTGAATTCCAATATTCTGCCCTTTATTATCATTATCATTTAAACAGTCGTAAAACCCCATATGGAAAATTTCACTTCGGTTATCGCTTATTTAACGGGCATGTTTCGTCTAAAATAAACCCACAGTCTTGAGATTTCATACTATTTTTATTGACATTTTAATTAATCGAAACAAGGGATGCGAATATTCAAAGTGCAAACGACTTATTTTACCTTATTTTAAAGTTGCAAATTTAGCCATAATTCCCGACAAGGCAAATAACGTAAAAAAATATTTGACAAACCGAGGATCGTTGAGAGAGTGACATTTCGAAACTCGCGTGAATTTTTTGACGTTAGTAAACGGTTAAACGGAAAATATTTAGTATAGGAATATATGTTTTCTTAGCACGTGTGTAAAAGTATAGGTCAATTGGTTTAATGTTTACACCTTACACGATGGATACTGTTTTGTACAAATTTTAGTGAACCGCGAAGTTTGCTCATAATTATTTTCTAGAATTATGAACATATTTAAGTTAAATAGAGAAAGAAAAAGTTGCCAGCTTATCTCTGTTGACCTCTTTGATTATCTACTAGCTTTTTCTTTTGTAATAAGAACGTTCGTGTCATGTATTCGTATCGGACACAATATGGTAGTTTACTTTCTGAAATTTCAATAACTTTGACAATTTGTCGAATTTTCGAATCGCGATATCTATAGAACAAAATCTGTAAATTTGTTCGTTGTCTATGGTAGATGAACACGAAATAACGTTCTACGAATGATAACGACTCGTACAAAATTACTACCCTGTAGCTTTCTTTGTCGAAAATTTCTTTTTGATAATGATGAAATTAATAAAGCGATCGTTGCGCGCGTGCACAATAAAAGAACAAAAGTAAAATTATTTATGCATTTGTTAAATATCTTAATTGAGAAATATACTTAATATACCTTAAATTCCGCTTCAAGTCTTTCCAACTGTTTCGCACTGTATGCTTGACGTGGTTTTCTGTCGATGCCCGGTTTTCTGGATCGTCTTCCACTCGGTTTGGGCGCTAAAACATTTAAACGGATAGGAATATCTTCCTCTAATCGTAAGCATGAGAATTTCAGTGAAATTAAGTATTAAATTGACTATGCACGTCGAAAGAGATGACAGTTGACATTCTCGAAGATTTATAGTCGTGATAATAAAAATTTAACATTATAATCATGTCTCTTAATTGTTTCACTAACTTCGCCAGCTTGTACTCAATTACCACTTTCTTCGATTCGGCCTGCTCATTGGACCACGACTAGAGTTACCAAGCGTGTCTAAAACATGTGGGATTGTTTGAGGAACGTGTGACATCTTACTGTCAATACGAGGCAGAATGTGGCAAAGAGCTGGACAAACAGTTTATACCGAGGAACGTTTGGATGCGATTATCATTATAGTGCAAAGAAGTTCCACATATTTCCGTTCAAGGGGTTATATGAGGTATTATACCGTTGTTAGTCACATTTAGATAATACGACACTGCGGTATATCTGACATAAAAAAATACACAAAGAGAACGTATTAATTATAATTGTACAATTTTCACGCTAACAACTTCATTGTTGCTTCAAATATGTATGTATATACAAATAGGATAAATAGGCTTAACGGCGATTAAATTTTACAAATTTATGCTCACAAATATTAAAAATATAATACCATGACGGTATAATCTTAATAAAAAAAATGATTACTTAAAATTAAATGTACACGTTGATTGATGTCATATTCGACTGTACATTAGGACGTACATTTTTTTGTTTATGCTCTTCGATAAAATTGGATAAACCATAACTTTATTATTTGCAAGGATTCGATCGCGTATGATTATTATACGATAATAATATAACGAAATCGAAAGCCTCTTCAACTTTATAACGCATACCTATACGACGATGTCAATGGAGAAATCGTAACGGTCATTTTGAAATATAATTTTTTGACATTTACCACTCTCGTAAAATGGTTATAGTCGTTTCTGGTAAAATGGTTATCCTCGAATTCTGAAAATCGCGATGACTTCACATAGAAATAGAGACTTCTTCTTTTTCCCCTTGTTTAACGTTCAGTTAGCTACTCGGCCCTTACACTCTAAACCAACAAATAGATGTCGCATGTTTGCACACAAGACCTTTCGTATTTTCTTGTAAATCTTTCGTCCGTATCGAAGACTGCTACAAATAGCGATGCTTTGCTTCTTAGCAATTTTCCATACATCTACGACTTCCCTTCTCTCTATGTTTAAACTATAAATAAAACACATTTTCAAGGAAACTGAACCGAACAAGAAAATAGAATGAAATTACGAATAGGAAAGCAGAGAAAATGAAAAAGTAATATGGTTTACGCGAAAACAAGAAATAGAAGGCAACAAAAAGTCATCTTTATTTGTTATTTAGCGTTAGTTAACATTAAGTTGTATGTGTATATTTACGACTATGTTTCATCGGAATGAAACTTTATTCAAGTTATTACGCTTGCACGAATCAATCGACTTCCATACGTCTATTCGAATTAATGGAATTGCCACGATGGACACTGGTTTCCATTAATCGGCACGAATTGTTCGTGCGAATCGATCATATTTCCTAGAAGTGCAGAAACTATTGGCCAAAAAGGGAACGTAGCGACGAAGAAAGAAAACTGACGGAGTAAAGATTTACGAGTGTACGCAGACATTTAGCACTTCTCCGGAAGGTAGTTAGAGTAACGTCGCTGATAAATGGGCTTCTAACAGCATGGCGGATAGTAGCGAAAGAAGAGAAACAACGATGGCGGATTGAAGTCTCCGACGTATATTATTCGCTTATTTTCACAGTCGTACAAAGTCGATATGAAAGAAACTTGCTTAACTATGTATTAGATCTAGACAAGTAACGCAATAGACAATGACGAGTTTGTCCGCTCGCGTTCGTTTGCTGCGACAGCTACGTGTCTCGCTAATTTTATATAATATATATGCATGTAACCGTAATCGAGTAGATACACGCATACTATTTCGAAATCTGGCAATCTTTCTTTCTTTATATGTACCTGGCTTGCTCGGCACGAGCAATATTTTTGTAACATTCCTCGAAAGGCATACTCTATATCCGAATGTTAGTAGGTTGGACGAGAACAAGGTTAAACAATTCGATATACAAAAATAAGAAAAGTTGCTCGATACTCGAACAACGAAATATTTTACACCTGACCGGTAATACAGCAAAATTAAGGGGATACAACACCCTAGCTGTTAATGTGACGTTCGCGTGTCGAAAAGCTGTTACTATAGACGCCTCGAGTAATCTCCGATATTCCCTTTGAGCCGAGAAAGAACTCACCGATTTCGCTTTTCTCGGCATTGTTCGCGAAAATGGAATTACGCCGATAAGTTATTACGAGCAGGTAATTAGAATCTTTTGTCGTAATAAAAAGGAATCGCTCCCAAACGTTTTATGCCTCGACAGTCACTATTCGACAAGTTATAGTTTTCAGGTATCGTGGTAGAAATTCCACGTCATGTTGCACGATTTGCGATTCAATTTTTAACCTGGTTAAACATATAACAACGATTGGTATAACAGATTTTGATCGAACTCACCTTGTAGACCAAACAGCTGGCCAGGTTTCGATTGAGCGAACCAACTGTTATATAAAATGGATGCAGAAGCAAGGGATGTCGCCGAATACGCGGAAGGATCTGAAAGCGTGACTTCCGAATACGATAATCCTGCCGATGCGTATAATCCTGTGTTCATATCTGTAAAAACAAATAATATATCGCGAGCTGATTTTTTGTTAGTTCCTTTTTTTAACAGTTTTCGTTATCTTCTGTCTATATCTAGCAGAAAATACTTGGCCGATCCTTTGCGGGAAGATTCATTCTTGCCGAAAGACCGTAAAACATTGGATTTTACGAACGGTCGCAGAATAATATAGTAATTATACAGAGACGTTAATAAATATCCGAAAATTCTTTCAAATCGTTAACATCAAGCCTAAACACACAATAACTTTGCATAATAAATAACTAGAGTCGAACGTAAACAGGCAAGTTTATCCTCGCAGCGTAACAAAATATATTATCTGTTTTTCTAAATCCGACAAATAATCAAACGCTGAGATAGCAGAGAACGAGGGAAGGAATTAATACTTTGTCGTTACAATTGTTTTACCGGATTGCGTAGCTGATACGGCTGTTGGTCTGATAAACTGATTTTCTTCCATTTTCGCCTCCCTATCTTCTTGATCTTCTTCTCTGTCATCGGAATAATTTAAATTAGGAGCTACTTGGATATTCTTCGTTTCGCGTCTGCCAAGAATGTTGTCAATCGTAAAGGCACTAGCCGCGGCAACCGGTGACGAATTTTTTCTTTCTATTTGCTTCCTATGAATCTCCTTGTAACTTTCGCTACTCGAATCGGATGCACATTCCATTGTATCTTGATGGTTGTTTGGCGTTTTCACGAATCGTTCGCGATCATCCCTCGTTCGCTCGTAAACGTTATCGACAAAGCGAATCTCTTTTATATCTTGTTTCACAGAGGACCGTCGCAGATCGTAGATTTCGTCGCTCACCTTACCGTGATTTTGATAAAGCTCCATCGTCGGTAATGTCATTGGACATTCTATTTCCACGTTCTTAATTTCTAATTTCAGCCGACCTAAGCACGCATTTAAAATGCTCGATAACACCAAGCTTGATTTACAAATTGCATTTCACGATTTCTTTTTTCAAAACTATTTCACGTTGTGCACATTTTCTATGGCGATCACAAAGTAGATCGTCGTTTAAAACAGCGAGTATCAATATCTATACACTAGTACGTTCGTATTTTAACACAGTCTAATTTAACGACAATTCCATCGTATCGTCACGTTAAACGTCAAACGTTGAACGTTGATCGAGTTGCGATTCGATATATCTTACTTTAAAACACGATATTTATTAAACGTATCTTCGGTTAATCTTTGCTCACCGCATTGAACGTCTAATCGACGGCTAATCGCCCTCTCAACCTTTCGAAAGCAAGTACTTCGATATGTATGACAGGTGGCACGTGTCTGTGGTCCAGAAGAACCTCCCAGCTTCCCCACCATCAGTTCCTGAGGGAAGGTCATCTCGCGATGCTGGACTAACATCTCGCACCAGGAACCCCCACTTGTTTCTGTTACCTGATCGGAGTAGGGGTCAAAAGCTTATTCACACTGGTTTAACGTTGCTTTACTATCATATACCGCGATAAATCGATATACCTATCCTGCTGCTAAACATTTTCAGACGCTTCTTCCTTCGCCATTTACCCTTCAGCGTCTGATACGCGAGTAATATGTATTCCTCTGTAACCTACAAGTAGTAACCATGTTTTTTGGATTTGTCTTTGATCTTAAATTCGTCGAATTTAAAATAAATCGAAAGAGGAAGAGGGAAGACAAAATAAAAGGTAGGGCTATATGATACCATACGATGTCAGTTCGCAAGTAAGTTTGCCGTAAAGAACTAAACTATACGTTACGATACGTTCGGCTTATTATTATTATTATTCTTCTTTTATTCAAACGTTTAAGTTTGTCCGCTGCAATACACCGCTAGCCTATATCGATAGTTTCGAGCGAATACAAAATCCATTTTCCATTTCCATACCATTCTGCCAATGGTGTCTCCGGGTTCCATTTCCGGTGTCGCCCGTTTCACGTAAATCGTTAATTGACCGTTCGAAACGCAGATTCGTCTTAAGACGGTCATCCGGTCAGAATGAAACACGATCAAACGTGAAATTCTATTTTACGTGATATCGCTATCGCGTAATTCGATGTAAGAACATTGTCATTGTCATCTTTACGTACACTATGTTGAAGATATAGCCGAGATATTATACATTACAGTTTAATAGGGTGATATGCGCAGTAGCAAACTTCATCTACCGAAAAAGAATTCATCAGGGATCAGAAAGCGAAGCTGTGATTGGCTCTTGGAGGCGCATGCTCTTCCGTAGCGTCCGCCTTCTTCGACCCCTCTATTTCAGGGCTTTATGTCAGCAAACTAATGGTTCCTTCTCTATCCCATATATGTATGTACACTCTACTCTACGGCTATGGATAAACGCTTCTGCCATACGGAGAACGACGTGAAAAAGTACCGCAAAACACTTCTTCGCGCGTTTACCAAACTTCTTACAGTGGTTCTCACCGGCAGGTTTAGATATTTTATCAATACCTTAAACAGCGCGAAAAAGAATTTTCATATCACGCGTCCTGCATAAACGTGCAAAATTTCTATGAAATCTGTATATTTTGTAAAATCTCACATCTCTTATCACTCCTAAATACAGCAAACACCGTTATATCCAGTTGTTTCACGAAAGCAACGTTCAAAGTGCCAATTACTACGAACTAAGTTGTAAACAAATTTGAGGCTCGCAACTTTTCATTTCATCGAACCATATCCAGCTATTTCTGTTTGGATACAGGCTGAAAATGTCGAGCATTTCTGGCAAAAGCGGTACCATTAGTTTCCGACCAAGACCGGTCCGATCTCGATGTTCCTCCTTGCACATCGTAAATCTATCGAATTTCATGCTACAACCGCCGAAGGACCATTGGCAATTGCGTTTTCATCGTGCATTTGCATCGTCAATTCGTTCCGCTCTAGTCGCTTCGATCGCATAAAAAGCATGTGAATCCTTTAAAAAGATTCCTCGTTAATACGAAGAACGAAGAAAGTAGTTTCCCCCGAAACAACGATCGTACTCATTTTTTCACCTTCTATATATGATCGACGAGGTATCGATACGTTCATCGTAAGAATACAGTTGTACCGCAATGACAGAATACGAAATTTCGATAGAAGTACAGTTGGTAACTAACAGTTACGATTTCTTAAGGAATACCGTGCTTTTTATATGCCATTTGTGAGCATACTTGAACAATTTAAGCGTGCAAGTGACGAGAACAAATATTGAGTACCGGTTACATGAAACGAAATGCCGTGCATCGTCTTTTCGTTAGGTGTGAAAGGAGGAAGTAACGATATGGTCGACGAACACGGAATTTCACGGACATGTATCTACGGTTCTTCCAAGAAACCATTATGGACCCTTAAAACGTCTTTCAAAATATTTGGCAAAAAGATTGTCGTCTATTTTTGCGAGGGCCATACAACGATTCGCGTCTGTACGACAGAACTGGTTGTTCGCGCGTTTCTTGTACCATATAAATAACAAAATATACGAAATACGCGTATTTTTTACCGCTGCCGCGATACGACACGTATAAGAAGTACTCGGACGACGAAACTTCCCAATAAAACTGCTATGTCCGTTACGTTTGTACAAAGTTCGATGGAAATAGCCGAATGGACGATCGTCCTACCGATACGAACTTTACTTTTGCGTTCGATGCATGCTGCGCCACATAATTGAAACGATCAATCAAACACCTGAGAAAAGGAGGGTGTACTAACGCGCCCACAAATTGCCATGGAACGTTTTCACACACGGAAACGGAGGGTTTACCCATGCCACACCCCGCTCGCTGCACAGGGATGAGACGCATGTATCTCGCGAAAACTTTTCAACGTTCGTTGTTAACACTTGGTATATCGGAGATGCGTTTTCCAAGTTTTTCGTACGTTCTCGAGAATTTCAAAATTAATTTCCTAAATTTTACCTTCTACCTTTTACCTTTTTATATAGGCTGAAATAGAATAGAATACGAAAACGATTCAACGCGGGAAAGAAGAACTTCTGAAAGAAAAGAATTTTTAGCGAACAGGAAAAAGAACGTACGATCTACGTGCGAAAAGTTTCCAAATTCACCAAGACTAACACGAAACGTAAGTAGTATCTTGGACAAGATATCCTGTCAAGTACTTTTGCGTCGGGCTCGATTTTAAGTTAATCACTATACATCGAACAGAGCTGTTGGTTCTGTCCAAACTGTACATGAGAGATGGAGGATATTGTGAGAATTCTTTGAAAACTGGACGATTAATTTTCAGTGACCTCCATGTATAACTGGTTGCTATTGCTATGGACACAGATATAGCTACTCTCGCGAGATATTAGACAGGTGAGCGAGTTCCCAAGGGAACAAAGCCCCCATTACCTCATCTCGCCGACCCATCCAAGCCATCTCGACAAACCCTCCGCTCCTAAAACATTCATAAGAGCGGTGTAAGTGGTTTTTAATAAAGTGGTATTTAATCATAGGTGTCGGATTACGCGTAAATCGGCTGGTAGTGTCACCGACCAATGTGAGATTGAACATGTGTCCAAATATATATGTATGTTGGGAAAATTCATTCTGTTTCCATAGGGGATATTTATCTTAATCGCTTAGCGACAAGCAGTTCCAAGTTACTAATTTATAAATCGAACGCTACACCTTTGCCTCGCTATATATGCAATCCTACTAAAATTAAAGATCTCGCACGATCTTATAAACTTTTTGTGAAAATCAAATTACACGCGAATATAATACGTAGACATTTGGAGCGTGTTTCGTTAAAAGGATATTAACTGTTATTCCAAACAGGAAAGTTTGTCAACGCCATTTAAACACGCGTACCTACGGTTCGAGTAATTATTTCCATCAGTCGAACAAGTTGTTGCCAGCAGCGAGTTTCCGTTCTGACAGTTCTCTTTGTGCTACGGTTGCTGGTAACGAAATTTTACTCGCTCACGCTCAAGAATATTTATTTTAGATGAAATCGTTCAAAGAAATTCCATCTATCGGGCTTTTTATTTGGGTCCTGGCAAAGATTTATACAACTTCTGCGCAACGATGTTTCGACGATGGCAATGAATTTTGTATCGACGAGAACGACATACTTTCGGTAGATCTGTTGCCTGGATCCTTTTTATTCGCGGATCAACAAGTGAGTGATAACAGAACGAAAGGTTCCGAAGATGCAATGGTAGATGGATCCATCGACAATGCTCTGAGCGAAATGGAATATCATAGGTAAGTTTGAGAATAATAACTTATCACTTAGCTCGTCGGAATATTAAGGCCGTATTTTCTATTTTCTAATCCGCTGTATCTATTAGAAAAAGGATGAACGAATACTTATGCCATGGCTACGTGGCTGAGGAAATAGCGAAGATAATGAGAGCACCTAGGGCTAAAAGGCGTCTCGATGTGGCAGAAAGAAATGATCTGTATAATTTAATGGACAATGACAATATTACTATTCACGATAAATTGTTAGCGGACGAAGGAAGTTCAAAGTACAAAAACTGGTTACAGCGGTAATTATCGAAATTGTACTTTTAGTTACATCGCACGATACCTATACGTATTACGTCGGTAAATATAAAACGGCGAATAAAATTAATTCTTTACCGACTACTTATACTTACGTGGTTTCGTTTCATTCAAAAATTTACTTCCCGTAGAATTATAAATGATTAAAAAACCTACATCTTTTACGACAGAAGGACAACCTTGGACGATGTATATCGGCATTATGTTCCGCAAAAGAAGATAAAGAAGAAGCATGGAGCTCACGACGAAAATTTCGAAGAATTCGATGGAGAAGTCACGGGTTATGCGATGCAAGCTCCTCTACCTTCTGGTAAAGTTGGCTTCTTCGATGAACAGAACGAGGAAAATGGTAAAGATCATTTTATACGATTCTACCTTTAAAGAATAACTACCTTCAAAGAATACCTTTAAAACGAGATATTCTTTTATTTTTTAATAGATCATATGCTTTCATCCTCGTCGGGACACAACGTATTTTATGGTCCTGCTTACGGTCCCGCTTACGGTCCCTCTTACGGTCCCGCTTACGGTCACGGTGCTGATCATTTCTTGCATCACACTGAAACTTTTCCCGCTATACACGAGGAACACTATTACACCGCTCCGATTTATCACGATCACGAAGAGGAGTACCACAAGCCTTACTACAAAGGAAAAGGAAATGAACTTTCGATAAGAGACTTCTTTGAAATTGCCCTTACAGCTCTGGCGTTTTTAGCTTTTGGATTATTCATTATACAATTATTAATGAACGCTACGGTAGAACGTCCGAATCGTTTGATTTCTCCACAAGCTACTTCTTATTACCGCTCGTTAATTTTCTTTTATCTTCGATATGTTCTTCGGATAGACCAACATGAATACAACCATAGCCACGATGACGAATACGGCGAAACGTCTGAGAAGGAATGCCATCGATGGGTTACCTTTATCGTACGCTAGCCACGAACAATTGAACGAATTATCTCACAACGTTCTGAGAAGCATCGAGGCTGCTCTCGTCGCCGATACGGATTTTGGAAATTGCATTCGCAAAATTCTTTGCGAGAATAATCGACACTCCACGCAAACCGAAGACGCGCGTAAAATATGGATGCCTGTATGGAGGTAAAGCGAACGACGAAACTTGGTCAAGTTTTCGATTTTTAATCGTTATTATACCGTTATTATAATCGTTATTATATGCCCGAGGCGTGTGCAACAAGTAACGGCACACAGGGTTTTACATTTGAAAAATTAAAAGAACGTAAAAGTAAAAGGATGTCCATTATCTGCAACTTATCTGTCGTATCTGTCTGTTTATTTTGCAATTTATCTATCTATCACGACGTATGTTCGATAAGCATGGAATCAACCTTTTCAGTCTAGGAATGAGCTGGGTGTCCGGCAGGGTGCTGAAAAGATCTTCATGGTCGGCAATGTTGGATTCTATAAAAGCTTCTGTTCTTGGCCTAGGTGGAGCCGACTGTACACTCTTGTATCCTGACTGCGACCTCAAAAAGGAAAGGATCAAAAGACGCAGAAGACGCAGAAAGTAATTTTCTTCTTGTTTATTATTTTCTGTATCGTGATATCTTTTATCGTCACGTCGTACGAATGATAAAATATTCGGTTCGATTATATATCGTTAAGATATGTATATCTTTAAAAATACCTTACATATATATCCTTAAAAAAAAGATTCATTGTCAGTACTAAAGTTCCTTACACACGTTAGGTCTAAAATCGCAGTTTTTAACGGTAACCGGTAACGCTAACGACGTCGCCGACAATTTTAGACAGCGATGACATTTTTGGCGTTACCGTTCTCTTCGGTTCTACTCGGCGACAGATTTCGTGGAATAGGTAAAAGCGAAGCGTACGTCGATCCTGATGGACAAACGTGAAAAACGTTTCTCTCTCGTTTCCCTTTCACTGGGCGTATATTCGATAGAATGGCCATCCCTTTTTTATCGTTTAAAGTGCGAAACTCTGCAATCTTAGCGAATACACAGCTGTATACAGACTTTTGCGGATACGATATTAAGGATCGCGGATTACACGATATTAACATCGAGTTACTTGTTTGGCAGAAATTCCAATTGGTTCTCTGCAAATCGTCCAGAGAATATTATGCGTATTTTGCGCTGTTTTTATCGAACCGCAATACAAGAAATAGTCTTGTGAGAAAGATCGTAAAATGTTTGTTAATTTTGAAGGAACTATACGAACCGACGAATGCGCGGCACGAATAACAGCCAAATTATTTACGATCCCGCTCATAAATTCGTTTGGTTCATCCTGTAACTAAGTAGAATCGTGGTGTTATTACCTATGAATTTTTAGACATCATAAAATGATACAACTTATGTGTTTCGTTCAATGTAAATATCTGTGAATTCGTCACCTTACAGAAATATACCAAAACAGTAACGCCACTAGGTCGTCGAAGTGCCAATTCTAATGTTTCGTATTCTTCCTTGAAACACACAACATGCAGTTCCATAGCCATACTTTCAATGAAATTTAATCGAATTCTAAATTTAGAAACTTTTACGATAAACCAAAGAAAATACGCGATACGTTTTAAGTGGGACGATTTAAAATAGATTTCAAACCTTGCACCATCGACGGTGTGTTCACTGCCTCTCATTTCATTCTCTCCCCAATGAAAGTGAACTTGCGCGAACGTATAGTTTCCTTCGTACGGTCCTCCAGAAAGATAAGGACGTCCCTGTGGCCATTTCGCGCTCAAAATTACTACCGACAAAATGAATTTCGGTAGTTAACGATGGAATATGATACATGTAACGCATATACATATGTATCGATTATCATCCCTAACGGAATATTACCCGTTAATCCTGTGTTAGTAAGTTTCAATTTTCTCGGTACTATATCGATACCAATCCACTTCAAAGGATCTAACTCGATAATTCTCATACGGCCAATGTCTAAATCGATCGGAGATTCTAACGCATGTTCGGTATCGAGTAAGTCTTGAAGCAACTTGGCATCTCGTTTGTAACCGTCGTTCGCTTCTGTTCAAATAATTAATACGCGCGATAAACAGGACGAATTGCAAAAAGGTACAATAATTTACCTTACCTGTTGTTAGGCTCATTTTTTATTTGAACGAAGTTAAAACCAAGTGATTCGATTTTGATTTTTCTATAATCGAAATAGAACTTTGTCGAAGGTTCAAGTAATTGAATATTTTTAATACCAGAATATAAGATTATCTGTGATCTGTTCAGATTTTTCTCGAATATATATGGATTATGCGCGAAAGATTGGTAAATCGGATGAGCCGAAAAAATGGGTGAAACAGTTTACGACAACGGTGACAGCACGCGATGGACTTATGAGTCCGCAGTCGATATTTCTGGAAGATCGGCGCTTGGCGAATTGGCGGAGATGGTTAGACAGGCGAACGATACAATATAAGCGCATTGCGTCTACGACCGGTCGTCATCGAAATGATCAAATTCTGAATTCTTGCGAAAAGGTACGGCCACTGATCGAAATGAGAAACTTGATAGATTACGCGACAGTGCCGATACCAGTTATACCCGATAAATATCGAGGTGGTACGGAATTTTGGAGGACCCCGAAAACACTGCCTAAACGTGACCCGTGTTTGCCAGATATTACGTTTACACCGAGTAAAAAGGAGCTAAATGTAATTCCGGAATTGACGTACGTCGACTTGCCCGAATTAATAGAGAAAGAAAAAGATTTGGTCGGCCTGAAATCGAAGGAACCATCGTGGGGACGCAGTCGGTACTTGAAGAGAAGAGAGAAGGAGTTGTCGAAAGAAATAGCGATGCTCGTGCCGAAACAACCAGAAACGAAAGACTTGGCAATCAGGAATTCAATCGCAACGATAAAGGAACCGTTCGCGAGAATTCCGCCGATAACAGTTTCCGCCGATACAGAAGGGAAAGAACAGGACGCAGGATTCTGCTGCGATTGTTATTCCGAGCAGGCGATCGTCTTGAAGATCCAAGATCGTGAAATCGTTTGGCGGAACGTTTCATCGAAGCAGGACCGCGCGCAATCAGATCCAATCCAGTGGAATTTAACATTTTGCGGAAAAATTAACGAAAGGACGGAGAAAGAAATCGTGTTCGAGAATAAAGGAAATCGCGTAATCGTTTACCAATGGCGGGACGCAACGTTTCGATCTAACGCAATTCCTTTAGCCAAACGAACCAGTTCTTTCTTTTTTAACAAAACGAAAGGAGTGATCCTACCAGGGCAAATTGTCAAATTAAAGATATGGTATCTCGGTGTCTCTTATGTTTCTACCGAATTCTGGAAACTTACGACCGATCCAATCTTGTGTTCCTCTCCGTTGGTATTTCGATTTTGGGGTTGCGCCGAAACTGTTGTGCCAGTAAACTTTCGTCCTGTACAAATAGTCGATAAATACTTGAATCGTTGCATTCGAAATACCGTGATACGAGAGATAATTAACGATATTATGGAAAATGTGAGTTTCGCTAGACATCCGGAACCTGCGTACGGTAGCCTATTTTTAGAGTCAGAACTATTCGCTATTCAAAATTCACTGTGCTTTTACAATCCGACGCTTACGATAGAATTCCACAAGATTTACTACAATGCGACGAATCAAACCAAGCACCGTTGGAACATGCTGTTAAACGATATACGAGAAATCCTATTGAAGATCAAACAACCGGAACGTAGGAATATAATATTATCGAAATTCACTGAACTTTATAAAGAATGTTTGGAACCCTCGTTGTACAGATCCGTGCGATATAACAAGTACGAAACGATATACAATTTGCTTTGCTCGTTTTTCAATTTGTTCGAGATGGAAAGCGAGTCAGCAAGAAACGCTTACCTCGTGAACGAATATAAAGAAACTCCTGTTATGACTCCGCAAATGAGTTATACGATATCGATGAACGCATCTCAGCCATCCGTTAAGAGCAATAATTGGCGAAATAGACGAGGAAGGAAGTCGAGTGTTCGTTCGCAAAACAGTCAGGTTCGGACAATTACGGAGCAAAGAACTCGCACAGTTCCCGCCAATGATTCTCTTTATAAAGAGATATTTTTTATTCGTATTTATGAACTTTTGGGTGAAACGATAATACGAATATTCGCATCTATCGAATCGTTTGATAATTTGAACGAACGTGATAAATAAAGTTATTTAATAGAAATAACAACGATTCACTGTTTCCTCGTATATTTTACCAGAATGTACCAGAAAAAGACAGACACAGAACGATCGTGACTTGAAATTAACTTAAGAGATTGCTAAAAAGATTTGCCTGCATCTCAGTAATTGTATTTCTCGCCAGTTTGTCTTTATGTCGTTTCCATCTCTATCTCTCAGTCTTCGAAACTCTTTTATCTGTGAATTAATTTTAATCAGCGTAGTCTATATGATATCGTACATAAGTATATCAGTGACGTTAATACGACTCACCTCGCTGGCTCGTATAGGTATAACTACGGGAAATACGATCCAAGTAGCGCACTCTGGATATTCACCGATATTGTACGATCCTGCATAGGTATAGTATCTAGTGCAATACGTTGACCAGCGCATCCATGCTAAACAGTCTACGAGAAATATGACCAAAATATCGAGATATTTCTTTCGATTACGATCTTAACGAATAATCTTAATTGACATTCTTCTATGTTCTTAAATATCACTTGCCAAATATTATCCCAAACTATATTCAACGCTTACTAGGTGGTATTTTCGTTTCCATGTCTGGATCTAGAATATACTTCAAGTGCTCCGTTATCCTTTCCAATTGCGGATTAATGCAATTGCAACAATCTGGTTGGACCTTTTTTTGCAATTAGGCAAAATTTGTACTCCCAATGGAAAAATACAGAAACTAAAGTTAGATAGAAAAATAATTTCAACGTTGAAGTTTCGTACTAGAAATAGGTATGCCAAAATGCAGAATCCGTCCTTATGTCTGAAACATTCTTCCACGGTTACATATTTTCTGTTCCAGTGTACCGCGTGACTTTCCATCGAATACCTCGATAGCGTAAAAATCGTATATGTAATAAAAAGGAACGTGAAGTTTACTTTCTTCTTTGCTTTACCAAGTGTCGTTGATCGTGTGCTCGGCACCTTTGCAATTGTCTTCGCCCCAGTGAAAATGCACATCCATTAACTCGTATATGTCATCCGAAAGCGGTCCGCCACAAATTGTCGATGGGATTCTATTTCCAGTTAACCATATTTTTGCTAAATATTCAAAAAACGCGTTAGAATTTGGAACACTTGTATATCTCGTCTTATCCTAACATTATGCACCGCTGGATCGAATAACTTTTCCGAAATATTAAAAAATATTCGGCATTACATTGGCTATGGATATCTAATGCGTATATAAACATAGACATAAACATAGCCAAAGAAATAGACATAGAAATATACATAGACATAGATGCGGATACAGATACAGATACAGATATTGACATAGACATAAATTCTACTTTCGATACTGTAATATTTCACCAATTACCTGTAGTTCCGGTGTTTAACAGTCGTGCTTCTCCATCGTTTAACCAGTGACCATTTAAGACAAGCGGAGGATATTTGCGTTTTCGTACTAAACGATCGTCTAGATTAATCGGAGATTGACCCGTCGTTGGTAAGCCTGAAAGAAAAATTAGATTTATAAATAGGAATATTTGCACTACATGCATATACATATCTATACATATGGTATTTAGGCGTCGCCTTTTAATTTCTTCCCTATCACTTAGTCGTTTTTTAATACCAGTATGATCGATATTTCTTCCTTTGGGTTTAAAAGTTTACGCTTGGGAATATATTTTCTCGTTTTTGTCTCAACCATATCTTAATTTTATCACTGATAATCTTTTTTAATGACCTATTTTCAGATTCTAGGTGTTGTATAATTTTTTCCATTATCATCTTTTTTCTGCTAGGTCTTAACTGATAATTTCGGTGTAAAATTTACTACTCTTTCGTCACCCATAAAGTCACGGTGTCTTTCAAGCAACTTTACGACTTCGGCTTTCATAAAGGAACCTTCGACCATTTAAATTGCCTTTGAACGACAATTCCTTAATTTTTTCCATTTTCACTGTACCAGTTTGTTTCTCTACTTTCGAAGAGATCTCGTTAAGAGACGGTTTGCATTGGCCGGTATGTTCGGGTATATCGGCGGTATTGGCGATGTATTTAAAATTTGAATCGTTTGACGATTCACCGTGGTTTACTCCGCTGTCATTTAGATTAGCTGATCTGGAGTTATTCAGCAACGTTAATCACAATACAATACCCACAGAACCAACTATATAAAATACAATAGAACACAGGACAGCGAGATCGTAAAGGGCACAAGAATCGCTCAAACAAAGGAGGGACTGCGCGTAGCAAATATGCTTTTCTCAGCGTACGTGTATCGCGAAGTATCGGGTAATCACTGCGCCGAATATACATATATTTATGTACGTGTATGTCATATAACCTAATGAAATATTAAAAGCTCGGATTATCTTACCAATTAAACCTGTATATTCGGACATCGTTGTGAGGTAAACCGAAACTTTACGGAGTTAGTGGTGTTGTAGATTCAGACATATCTGTACGTTTACTTGTTCTTTAGGGATCGCATTATGAATAAGATATTGCGCGTGTTGTGTAAACGAGGGAACTGTGTTCCGTGTGACACATTGATAAACAAGTAAATTTTCAAATATCGTTTAAAAATGTTTAAAGCATTGTTCGGAATGTATTTCTGAAGGTAGGAAATACGATGAACAGTTAACTTCTTTCGTATCTTTCGTATCATAAATTTTATACAACGAAGCGTTCGGATTAAACAGAGGATTAAAACTACTTATTCCGTTAGTTATCATATTTTTATTTATTTTTACGAAGCAAACGCGTGAACCATGTTGTAAGTGATATTCACGTAATAACAGATAAGTAAATGATAAAGTAATTATTTGTCCATGCGTTATTCGTTTCTCATGTTACAGCAGTATCCGTAGCAAATAGAATTCTTCTTCTATGAAGATTTTGTTGTTGTCTACAATTTCCCGATATGTTTTTCCACTTGCCATCGTAAAGATTCCTAAATGCGTCTATCTAGCGTAAAAATAAAAGATAACACGATATCGTGTGTTACATGGAACAGCCTACGTTTTAAATAAATATACCTGGCGAGCGGATATTTTCGTAATAGTAGATGAAATAATCCAAATAACGCATTCGCTATATGGTGGAACGGTAAGAGAACCTGGATATGTGTAATAGCCATGAGCCCTGCACGCTTCTAACATCCAAAGCAGACAATCTATTCAAGAATAATTTTTCAAATTTTCCAAAGAACGAAAATTAGTAGGAAAAGGGAAGAGGCTAATCGTTATTTTACTAAAATTCCGTTACCAGGTGGAATTTTGCTACTGCTTCCCATTCTTTTGATACTTGTCAGGTTATCGGTGATTTTTGTCAGCGAAGGATTATCAGGAATTCCAGGGCAGCCAACCACCTATTTTCGATATTTTATTTTTTGAAATACGCACGTGTACAACGTAAGTAAATCGATTGGGTCGATTATAAGAAGCATCCGTACTTGCATGAGGTAGGAGAGCACCGCAATTCCATCTGGTTTGTCGAAGCACTTCTCTATCGATCCGTAACGAGTGTTCCAATGCATTATCTGTGCCTCCATGGAGTACCTGCAGTCGATAGAATGACTTGAAACGTGTGCGGAATAATACCGTCGCGATACGCAATGAGATAGTCTCTAACCAGATCCCGTTTATAGAATGTTCCGCGCCCAATGAATCTTCCGGGCCCCAGCGAAATTCTACATTCACGAATTGAAACACGTCTTTGTTCAAAGGACCACCTCGCATCGTAGGTAGCGTTCTATCGGAAAATTCTATACTCACTGAGAAAGAAGCGTTCTCATATCCTCGTGGTGCAACATTTAAACGTCTCTGATGTTAAGCGATGATAAAACGTAGAAAAATTACCTGTTTTACCCGTATTCGTCATTGTAGCTGTACCTTCGTTCGACCAGTAGTTTGTCATATATAGAGGTGGAAATTGTTTACTCCATGTAGCTGTCCTACATAGGTTGATCGGCGATTGTCGCCATTTAGGCAACCCCGATGACGACGTTGACAAGATCGTAGTCTTAGTAGCTTAAAAAATCGATAACAATTCGAATTATTGAACGATTATTGAACGATTTCAAAACATACGGCATACGTAATATACACGTCCCGATACATACGTCTCGTATATACGTACCTATGTACTTTCTTTTCTCTTTTGACATATTTATCCTATACGGTTCCGCGTAAGTGTTTAACCGAGTATCGCAAAAATTTCCATCTACATGGCCAAAAATGGGAAAGAGTGACTGAAAAAAGTCAATTACGTCGTTAAAAGTTTACCACGTTACCACATGTTTCGATCCTTGCCATGAAGCTTGTTGCATATTAGATATCTAATTAATGTAATTGATTACATAACGAAATGCTATCTACCATATCTTTAAGCAAGATATTTATTTTATTTTTTATTTATTTATCGCAATCCTCAAGGACTTTGCGTTTCAGCTTCTCAGTTTGGCTTCCAGCTTACATCATATTTACTCGTCATGTATTTTATCTAGCTTAATTATTAGCTAAAAAAAAAAAAAGAAAAAATTTGTGCGATAAAATAGAACGAGGCAACGGACTATAAATTATGTTGCATATTCTCGATACAACCAAGTTATATATCAAATTTTTATTCATCATACGTGAATTATACAGATGAGATATCACTAAAATACTACACGAGGAATCATTTAATAAATAGTTGTGATCGATCGAATACTTTTGATTTTTAATTGACATAATAAACTACACGACCGCTTAATTTTTGTACTTCTCGGCAATTTTCCTTGATACACATGCCCTGTTTGTCGCGTATCATACGAAACAATTCCGTCTGATTTTCTGAAATCCTCACTGGCTCTGGGAAAACGATCCAAGTAACGCATTCGTGAAACGGAAAGGTGGTGATCGAGCCCAAGTACGTGTAATAACCGGCTGTTTGACAAGCCTGTCTCATCCAGCACAAGCAATCTACAAACAAAACGGAAGAAACTGATAGCCAGTGATAATCCTTTGTACGATATATGTAAGCCATCGATTCGTCTTAAATATCCTTCGATGCATTCGAGACGCTATTTTAATTACTTGGAAAAAAACGAAGGTGGCGTACTTGGTGATAACTTTATGTACGAATCAGGCTGTGTAACTTTATGCAAGTCGTCCGTGATCTTGGAAAACAACGGATGTTCGTCCCAAGTTGGAACTTGATAGGCCTGCAGAAAATAAGCGCAAATCGCGAGTCCGTCGTGTTTGTCCCAACAATTGTCGATCGTCTCGTATCTTTTATTAAAGTGTATCGCTTGCGCCTCCATCGTGAACCAAGTGCCGTTCAACGTGTGTTCCGCACCTTTGCAATTCGACGAACCCCATCGAAATACCACTTCCGATAGCTCGTACACGTCGTTTGCAAGCGGACCACCGCGAATCGTTGCTGCACTCCTATTACCTTCCAGTGTTATTTGAACTAGCAGATCGATCGAGGCGAAAAAAGAAAATTACTCGATTATTTCCTTGTATTTAAGTTTCGAAATATGCACGTACGTCGCGTTACATTTATAGGAATCCTCGGGAATAAAAGGATTTTTTATAAAATTCAGTTATGATTCGCCGAATCGGTGTTTTTAAATCTCAGCACATGTTATACGTTTCGATGTTACGATGTCTCGTAAGCAGAGATTGGTACTCACCTGTGCTGCCGATATTTCGCATTTTAGCTTCGCCATCTTGACTCCAGTGACCGCTCATAATAAGTGCGGGGAACTTTATCCCGATTGCATTGTTTTCGTCGATATCGACTGGGGATTGACCCCATTTTCGACGACCATCACCTTCGACGATAATGACGACAGTACGGGTAAAAAATTTTGAAGGTTACGAATTTCCAAGGATATTCTTACCTGCACACTGCATTTTATTTCATACAACGATTGTTCTCGTTATTTCAGATAACGAGTCGCGATTGCATATTATTCTATATTACGTATTATCTTATAGAACACATTTCGTACACATATTTTTACTACTGCAATTTAACTTTGCCAACTGTCAAAAAGAAATAACATAACATCGATCGCGGTATCGAGGTCGGAACAATTAAACCGCGGTTTTTCTATGAAGTTATATTCAAATAGACCGTGCTCGATATCCGTTGATCCTTCATTTTGCCCGGATAGCCAGTTGATTATTTTATCGGATGTTTTCTTTAAAATTCACAAGTGAAATTCTTGTATGTGTGTATAGATCTGTGTAAGAAAAGCTGTGCGATCGCATATTTTACGCACAGCCCAATGCGCATCACCCGATAACAAGTTGGACGGTCATTGAAAATGATAAATATATCAGCATCAGAATTTATGATCATATGTAGCAGCGTGCTCCTCGTTTGTAAGACGATTCGTCCGTTTTTTCCCCACCTTATACTTTATCGTATCGTATTTATACATAGAATCGTTCGTTACTAGTTTTGCTGTTGACCGAAGTTCTGGATTGGACCCAATTATTTCCCTGGATAGAAAACGAATGCAATTTTCCTCCGTTCACGTTCGGTTATACGGACCGTAACGGGCCCCATATGTGGAAACTGCTGTATCCTGATAGCAATGGTAGCAATCAGTCACCGATCAACATCGCAACACGGCTCGTCGTTGTGGTGCAACCGTCCGAACCTCTTCGTTGGAACGGCTACGATAAAGGACCACTATCGATGACTATAGCGAATAACGAAAATAACGGTGCAAATTTTCCACTGGTTTAATAAGCACAATCGTTACTAACTTATTATTCGTTAAAAATTATGCAATCACACCCCTATCGCAGCTCCTACATACCTAGTTACACATGTACATTCAAAAGTTTTCCGTATTTATACAATATTACTTAAAAGTTGCATCTTCTTCTTTTCTTTTTTTTTTTTTTTTTTTATCAACTATGGTTAGAAACGTTTGCAAGAACGTTTTGTCGTCAAGAGTTTCCTTCTCCGTCGTTCTTACGTTATATATATTTTGCATTTCAAATTTGTTAAGGATCATCTCGATCGTAATTTATCGTCCGCCGATCCTTTTAATAATCACTATCAAACTTGCAGTGATAGTGAGCACAGTATGGGGCAACTTGAATCGACCGTACATCGAAGGTGGCTGTTTGACTAACATTTACGACCTCTGCTCGATGATGTTTCATTGGGGACAATCGAACGACGAAGGCAGCGAACATACGTTAGATTACGTTCGATATCCCATGGAATTACAAGTGTGGCACATAAAACGCGGCTTTAACTCACTTTTGGAGGCGATTGCTGCTAAAGAAAGCGATGGCATACTGATCGTCTCGTTCTTTTTTCAGGTTAAATTGTATCTCATAGTTTTCCAAGTAGCGACTAAACTCCGTGTGGAAGTAGAAAAGCTAGCTTTTTAATGAAATTTCATAAATTTTATAAACGATATAAAGTAGATCGAGTAAATGAATTAGCATGAAATTACTATTAATAGATTACAAACGCGGATAATCCTTATTTGGATCATATCGTGAGAAATCTGCGGCGAATCGTTAAACCAGGGACGAAAGTGCACGTTCCACCCTTTCCGCTGCTATGGATATTTCCACACTTCGAGACGGATTATTATACTTACAACGGTTCTCTTACTCAGCCACCCTGCAGTGAAATCGTTACGTGGATCTTGCAACCTGAACCGATCGCTATATCATCGTCTCAGGTAAAACTATCGCTTTGTATAGTTTATAACAATTACATATACTCAAATGCCTCGATACGTTTGCCCATATCAACTTTTACTACAGATCGCACAATTTCGACAAATTTGCTCACCGGATGGTCCTATACCGTTAAATTGTAGGCCCGTACAACCAGTGAACGACCGTAGCGTGTACTTTTATTCATAGTATTTGTTAACAAATTACAAAATTAATTTTACGTCTTATGCGTTTTCGTGTAGAACTATCAACACGCGTATATAGTCATTCGTGTTCCGTTGTAACGTTTTTCTACTATCTATGCGTATAAACTGATTCTTAATAAAATCAAGTACAAAGCCATATATTTTCTGTGTTTGCTGTAATGTCAATCGACATTGACGTTAGTATACGATCGTACGGGACGAACATCGCCTTTCAACCGTCTACTTCGTGGAGCTGCTTCTTCGTTTCTTCCATATGAATGATTATATTACCGGCGACGAAAAGAATACGCGCGAAATATGTACAGCGCTTTTACAAAAATCGTGTAGATTCGATACGTTGCCCCGTTCGGGTAAAACGTTTCCCTTCCAATCGAGGAATCGTCTAATTTTCTTTAGCGGGACGATGAAATTACTTTTGTTCGCTGTTGAAAATATGAAACATCGAACAAGTATTTTATGTACAGAGAGCAATAATTTTATTGTTTTCCTGCTATATTTTACGAACGCGCCAAATACTTTCCAACAAATTTTATCAGAAAATAAAGGTATAACAAAGTTAAACTGGCTCGTCGCAAGTCGCATCAGGTATGTATCGGTACATATATCATCTATTTGGCACGAATTATTGTAAGATGCATGCATCTGTCTTCTTTTTCTTCTTGCGTGAACGTTCATTGCAGACACTATACCGGAGAATACATTAGATCTCTTGTTTCTCTTTTATCCGGATACACATCCAGTTTTCTCAAGCGGCTCGCGCTGGTATTTACGTAGATGAATTTATGAATTTCTATCACACGCACACACGATATATACATACTGTATATATTGATATCGGGTACATTCTCACTTCGATGGTGTATTTCCCCAGTAAAAAAATCACAAGATATTTTGAAACATATACGCTTGCCAATGTATAAGTCACGCGTCCACCTGATGTGAAAAATGAGATCTTGTCGAGTGAATTTCGCAAGCAAAAAAGGGGTGATAGACGATTCTCTCGCCGCGTTTTCTCGCTCCGCTCTTAGTTAGCACGTAAGTACATACATATGTATTTACAGATTCGCCGGTGATAAAAAATTTACCACCTTACAGTGCGTAGCAATGCCGCAGTAAGAATATCGCTTTTCTCGTGATTTGCGAAAGCGAACGTCGTTATAGAACGCGATATAAAGTCCTATCGCAAACGTTGGTAAAACCGGAGTATTTCGTATTGAATTTCGGAGTGAATAACGTTTTATGTACAGTATCGTAGACGTTTCTCTCTCGTTCGAGTTCGCTACGATATTTTATAATGAAACGCGCGTACAAGGGACGGGAATGGTTTTGAAGGTTTCGAGCAAGCGCAGCTTTCTATTATTCTACGGTAAATGTCGCAATCATCGATTGTTTTTAAAAATAAAATCTTAAAAATCCTTTCGCCAGTGATTCGCGGAGGATGTCTCGCCAAATCTCTTATGAAATCTGCTCGAAACGTCCAGGTATTATCACGTGTATCGTTGTTCCCTCGATTAAATCGATTTCCATAACAAAATCGTTGAAACTGAACGAACGAAATATCAAAATAACGCGTCCGATTTCCTCGTAAACCCGACTAAACTGGGAACTGGAAATTGGTTTTCCTTTCGTTTCGTGCCTTTGGCATCGCCTTCTCAATCCACTTGCATGTCCCTTATCGTTCGACAAAGGAAAGCCGAAGTTATTATACCGAATGTCTGAAACATACGAACGTATCTGCCGTTAGATTTCAAGTATCTGAAATCTTGTGTATTCTGTGCAAACGTACTTGTATACCAGCCATTGCCATGCCCAGGAATACTAATGTGAAGCTCTCGCACTGCAACCAACTTGTAACTTTCGAGAGGCAGCCCTATAAAAGCATTTCATAACATAAGAAATCAACCGATGAACATAAAACGTAAAATCGCTATTTAAAATATTCGTCGTTGGTAGATTTAACGATAAACGATAGCTCTTCTCCTTGCGCCGTAATTACTCGTACGAAAAAAAAAGAACGGTTTTATTCGGTTTTTAATACGAAATTAGAATCAATACTAGAATTAATGCACGAATCGAGAAAGAATTGGAATTCCTTTATACTTCGCTGGATCAACGACGTTACGATATTTCTTTTTAAAATGATTAAGTCTTAGAGCGAAACTCTACCTCTTTATGTCGATATCCATCGTGACCCTCTTCGTCTTCCACTTGACACGCTATTTCGTCCATTGGTTTCGGGTTTAGCCACGGTTTCTCGTTCTTTCGCGGGAAATAAGAATTTCATGAATGCAGTATGAAGAGAAAGTTCAGACTCGATCAAATTACTTACATGTTTGCTGAACACTCTCGACACCACGCTCATTGGACTTCCCGTATTTTTTACCTGCGAGGTAATACGAATCATTGATTTTCATATATACTGACATGTGACTTGTGCTTATTTTGTAACGGTTTATATTGACGGTTTTATTCGGTGCACAAAAATGTAAAAAGATCAAGCAGCAAATAGAATTGCGGAATATTTCGATGTATAGGATATGCTATAAGGGGGGGGGGTGTAATTATACTGCGAAAATAGCTTTTCCGTACCTCTGTATCTTTTAAAACGCAACACGTAAGCGGGACCTGCCTCCTGTTGCCCGAAATTTGCGCGTCTCTCCACCATGCCGTGCCATTGTAGTCCCCGTATCCGTGTATTCCGCAGCAATTAAACTGTAATGGAACGATTCGTGTGCTCTTCGGACCATCGCAATGTGGTTGGATGAACGATGTACCGTGTCGTGCATTGGATGTCGCTCGGGCGCGAAATAAAATTTGCATTGCGCGGCTTTCGATCTCTCGCCGCTCGTTATACGTAGAGACGATCGTGTGGACGAGAATTGCCTTGGAAACTTAATGGATATTTCCGTCGACCGATCGACACGCCGCGATTCCACGCGACGCGACGCGACGCTACGACGAAGGGATCGCGTGAAAACGTCGTTACAGATCGTCGAGCGGTTGCGCAAATTTGCAAATGTTCTCGCATTTCGGAACCTCGATAGCGCGATCGATTCGGCGTGATGACGAACGGTCGAACGTTCTTACGTTTCCAAATATCGCATCTTTTGAAGGTGCGATGTCGTATACGACGTATGTATGTTTGTCACTAACGCAAAGAACAATATGCAAACGAACAACTAACGAATAGATGCCCGATCGAGCGAGAATTCAGGAAATGGCTGCTAGTTTATGTCTTTTCCGGTGGTTAATCGATCGATCGACTAGGAGAGTCGGTGATATGACCAAAGAATAATTACGCGCGATAAACAACCTCGGTGAATAAACGATCGATCGGTGTCGTTAGCAGTTTTACCTTATATTGCGCAAAGTCGAGACTGTGGCTGAAGGGTATGTCGCTAGTGGGCTCGTGACCGTAATCCTCGGCCAATTTGTTGATCAGCCGCTCCTCCAATCCAGAAAGTATTCGAAATGTCATCAGTCCACCGACGGCAGCGGTGATGAGTTCGGTAATGATCAGTGCCACGAGCATGCTCATGTACTGAACAGTTAAAAATGTATCGTAGACCTTGGCCGTGCTTCTGTTATAGGTGTAGCGCACGAGGTGCATCTATCGATAACTTACGGTGGCCAGTATGCATTGATTTCCATAGAGAGCAGCTCGACATCCGAAGAAACCGACCGTCAGCACCGTAAAACCGAGACCGACCAAGCTACAAGCTATCAGGTTAATAGTTTCGTGCGGCGTGGCGTCGGGCACGAAAAGATTTAACAGGTGCCCTTTGCTCGGTTCCAATAGCAAGCATGCCCCTATCATCAGTACCGTACACCCAGCCAACTATCGAGTAATTTCTCTTTATGTAGTCATCTACTAATATACTACTCTCTATACTATTAAACCATTCGTAAGGTACTTTATGCAACCACGGTACGCAACAAAATATCGTTTATGCAACGAAATCGAACCTTCTGTTTTCGTCTTTAGACACACATGCGTTTCGGTCTTGTTAGCTTCGTATACTTCGTGTACGATATTGCATCTCACGGTCCAGTGACATAAAATACCCTGTGCGTTTCAACGATAGTGTATCTAACTAACGACGTTGTTATCTCTACGTAAGTTTATTCAAAAATTATTCTACGTCTCCGAACAATCATTCTTAAAGCAACGAGACATCTGTCTTTCACAATGTTACGGTGTAAGACTTATATTTTTTCACTTTTTCCTTCGCTTTTGTCGCCGAAACATCGTAATTTTATCGCTAACGATAAATGACCGATCTTTCGAAACCTAACTTTTACGTGCCGCTTGGCTTACTCGCTGTTAACTGTTAACCGAACTGCCTAGGTGATTGACTTTATCGATATACGTATGTATCAATGGTATATTATTAGCGACGATACGCGTTCCTTCTTTGTTTACGCTTTATCGGAAAATACCACGATTCTTTATTAAGTACCGAATTATTCCTGTTTTCGTTTCTGCACGAAGAAATATTTCCGAATTCTTATCTTTATTTCGTACAAATATAAAACGGAATAAAAATACAAACATCCGATCTATTCGTACGATATATGTATACATACATACATTGACAGATATAATCTGAAATTAATCGATCAATACTTTACCCATATCAATATGTTGAACGTAAATAGGACGAATTTCAAATACTTCATGTCGGTCGTTTTCAAGACGTCAAATTAGTCATTGATCTGCAAAGATAACATCACTTGTATCAGTTACTTTAAAACCTACGATGATGATCTCGACTTTACTCTAAGAGTTGACAAATGCCTTTCACTTGAATTTTTGAACATCGACGCTTTATAAAGAGCGCGATTAACAACGTGAATATTAGCAGAATGAAGATAAAAGCGAGCAGGTGCTGGCGAATACTTGTGACGCGATGCGAGCGAAGCGTGCGTCTATCCACGTATCCTTTGATCCGCTCACGAGAATTAAAACCTACCGTATTTTAGAAGAACGAGCCTTTGGAATGGCCGTTGATTATACTCAAAGGTGCACGATCTGCCTACGCTTCAAAGGTGATTGAAACATTACTGCGAATCGGATATGCCCTGACGCAATAATATAATACCTGTGTTTCAGCTTTTCGTTTCGATAGTTGACTATATAGCGCGAGTTAATGGGCTAAACGACGAAATGTTAAAACACCGTTGCAACTAATCGGGATCAAAGGCGAAATTGTCGGATCGATGCGTGCACGGTTCATACACGGTTATACATATTAATATCGTACGACCACGGCAAATCCACGATTAAGCGATCACAGGCATACAACTTATTACCAATTAATCCTAAGTACTTACACGCTTGGTAATTAATTAAAGTTCCCAGGAAAATCACGCACAGTTGTTTGCTAGACCTTCTCACGGCTCTAACGGACGAAAGAAAAATCGACCGCTTTTAATCGAGATACCACCATTGTGCATGCTACGAATACTCAAACGAGATCTTTCGCATAAATATTCATAGCTACTCTTCTATGATATTACTTGCCATATTCCAGCGGGGGATCATTCGTGTAAACAGCTTTTGACGCAGGAATAGGCTGCCAGTCGCTGGCCCTGTTGATTCTCCTACTTTCTGCTGACAGCTACTCGAAACGTAAGAGAAACAAGGGCGGGAAACAAAGCGTAAAAAGACCGATAACACCGTAGAAACAAAAACCGGAAAACAGATTTCCGATTATCCTTCTCCGTAGATCGATTCACGAGTAGTTCACGATTCGTAGCGTTCGCCCATTCGCTCTCTCATTTTGTTTTTCACTTTTCTTTCGACTCCCGTTTCCCGTTATTAAATTCAAGCACGAGCACGTACAGCTTCCCGCACGCTGAGAGGGCGACCAAGGCGAAGTACACACACACACACACGCGCGCACGCACACACGCACACACACGCGCGCGCGCGCGCGCACGT